GATGCATAAGCTTAGAAAGGTTGGGTAGTCAATGTGGGCACGGACGCCGGTTTTGAATGCTATCAACATAGCTCCACACTAATCCGTTTGACAAGATAAATACTTTACTACTTATGCTAAGTGAGTAGTTATTTATGATTACTCTTTCGGCTAACCAACAACTGCTCGCTTCCGCTTGCAGGCATGTAATAGGCATATTTTTTTAAATTTTCTTTTGTATCGATAAATTTCCTAACCATTTGGTTACCAATCGGGAGCTCAAAGGCGGTTACCCAGTTTCCCCTTAATAAAACTGAACTGAAATGAACGTCTACTTAACACTTGGAAGTACATTAAGGGGAGTATGATTGTTCGGGGCGAACGTGGATAATAATGTCGGCAGAAAGGGCTTACCACGAGAAGGAAGCTCACCCTTGGGCTCATCTGGGCTAACATCTCGAGGGAACTTGGAGCGTCGTGGTTGGCCAGGCGCTCGTCTTGTGCCCATGTCGTCCTCGAGCCAACTGTCATCATCATCAGCAGGCACAGCACTTGGCCGCTTACGTCGTTGTTTCTTGTCCACTTTCTCGGAAGGGAACCTAACAGGGCGCGTTAGAAAATTGTTAGGGTTCATTGTGCACGGCAAAAAATCCTGTTAATAAAAAATTCAAAGGGCATTTAAATAACTGAAAACAAGGTTAAGGCCGAGCATTTTTCAAGGTTTCTCAAGGCAGTCTACACAAACGATGCAAAGTTCCTTTATAAAGATCTCATCCGAAAGTAATTGAAGAAATTAAAATAATCAAAGTCGCCCTGACCAGACGGGAGTCCACCAAAACTTATCAAAGAGCTCGCCAGCAAACTTTCTATACCATTACCAATACTCTTATAAACTTCATCTGACCCCTGTCGATTGAAGGCCAGCGCAGATAACTTCCCTATACAAAAGCGGTAAACGAGGGTCGATGACAAATTGCAGGTCTATAAGCTTTAAATGCAACCACCCAAAACGTCGGACCTCTAATAAACCTCTTCCGGTGAACGCTCTTCAGTCCCTCAAGAGTTCATGGAGTCACCAAAACGGTTACAGGTCATAGCTCCTTGCCATATACAGGCCTCCAAACAAGGATTAGGCAAATTTGCGGGGATCTCTTACAACAATTTCGCATTGTCAAGGTACTGGATTGTTTTCTGGCTCATAAGGACCCTTCTGATTTTGCTCCCACGAGGTCAC